CAACGAAGAGGCTGTTACGAGTCACTGATATGGATTCTGGACGCAGAATCCACGTACCTGCATTTTTTCACTAATTCATCAATCGAGTTTTTCACGTTTCACCCATGTTGCAACTTTCAGTTTTGACCGACTTTGCACTTTTCTTCTAGTCAAGGTCTAACTTGCAGTAATCTTAAAGGGCTAATGCACTCCGCGAAGCAGCCTGAAATCGCGCTCTATGGAGCAACCTTCTCCAGTGTGTGTGTGTGTGTTAGTATTTTGTTAAAAACATGATAGAAAATGGGAGTAGATTTTGCAACCGGCGTTTCTTGGAATGTTCTTTCAGCGTTTGCACATGTTTGCACTGTTTGTTCCACGATGGCTCTTTCGAGAACGGACATGACATGGGGGGGGGGGGGTCAAACTCATCAATCCGTGTTGTTTGCAGTTTGCAGCCGATAAAGGACTCTTGTTCAGGAGTTGGCTTGGTCAAGGTCCACCACCGTGCTCCACCTACCCATCCAACATGTTGTTGGCATAAGGCACTTACGACCATCACGATCACTTACTGTAGCCGTCCGTGTTTCTTCTCCGGGTCCACAGCATCAGGACATTACCGAGGAGGCCCGTCTCGGGAACACTCGGGGTTCCCGCCGCCACAAAGCGGTTCGCTGGGGAAGTTCATCGCAGTCGCTTTGAACAAACTTTGGGACTAAACAACCCAAGCAACCCGAGCAACCCGCAGCCATCTTCAAGTTGCAGAAAACCCTGCTCTGTAGGGCAGGGTTTTCATTTTCCTTCCAAAGGCTGGCACAAGCCGACAGAAGATCGAAGGGAAGGTGTTGTACCCGCCCAGCGCTAGACAGTCGACATGATAGAAGGAAATGGATGGACATGGACTCTGCAAGATGACTTTGCTGCAGACTCCTCTCTTTTCAATAATGTGGATTTGTTGTTTTTTTTCTTCGAAGATCTCTTGAACTTCTCCAGACTCCAAATTCTATCTTTGAACCATCTGAACCTCCCGGAAAACATCCTCTCCTAGCTAGAGGCTAGAGCGGCTAGAGCCTAGAGTTATCCTTCACTCCCATCACTAGGCCATCGAGCGAATCCCCAACCTGCGTGCCTCCGAGCTGGTGATGCTCACAAGGCGCCCGTAGTGTTGGGTGAAAATGAGGCGGATCATCTTCTTTTTTGTCCAGCTGGCGGGGCATTCTCTTCACCCGGAACTGATTATATGTTAAATTGCTACTTATATATTTATATGTTTGTTCCTAAATACGATGTTCAGAAACATCGTTGGGGCAAAGCCCCTGTCACATGTCCAAAGCGCCTAGAGTCTATGCTATGCTTGCCTATGACCCTGTCCCGGTGAGGCCAGGTTTGGCAGAAATCCATGGTGAAACAGGGAGATTGTTGAAAGGAATTGGCCAAGCAGATGATCTCTTTTTTTGAGTTCCGGAACCTGAGGAGTTCCGCGCCAGTTCGCGCCAGAATTCCAAGTAACATCGATAGCAGATTACCACCAAGGTCAGGTTTCTGCACGTGCGAAATCGCACTTCCTTACAGTTTCTGCACCTCCTCTGCTCTGCGAAATCGCAGCTTCCTTTTTCACCGGCCGGTCCTGTCTGTCAGGACCATGCTGTCGATGTGCCAAGCCTCACCTCATCTTCTCGAAAACTTGGCGCGACACCGAGAGCTGGACGGAACCCAACCACCGACGGAGCAAGCGCAGACCATTCGCCGTCCATTTGGGGCACTTGTTGGGTTGAGCTGAGCTGTTTTTACGGGATCATTTTAGGGGGTCTGTGGTCTACACGGTCTCTGCCAAGCTTTGAAAATATGGGCGGACCAAGGGGTAAACCCATCAAGCTCAGAATGGACGACCTGGGAGGCAAACCAACCAGGTTTTGGAAGTCCTGGTTTTGACCCCACATGTAGGACACCATTGACAATATTGATACTGAGACTCAATTGGACAACACAGAAGGAAGAGCCTCAAGAGTCATTGGCTGCTTTTTGTAAACCAATTGAAGTACAGATCCACTTCATCCAAGTTCGAGCTCAATAGAAATTCTGTAGGCATGCTGCCATGGCGCTTCCCAGAAGAACAGCTGAGCACCAGCTGTTGGATTACCATTCTTAGATCAATTTCTCAAGCGAATCTGTCACAGAAGAACTTCCCGAGCTGCCATTCAAAAGCTGCAAGGGGCTTAGCCGTCGATGCTACAGGCATCTAAAAGCGACAGAGTGACTGGGAGTTGTGGTGTCAACAGATGGGTTTTGAGAAATTCACAACCCATGGGATAAGGCTCGACAAGTAACCTTTGACGATGACCCTCTTAATCTCATATAATATCATTATTTGTATCCTTTTCTTTTACGTACTACTTCCCTCTCACAAGCCATTCATTTTATGGTGATATCTTATTTTACATGAAATGCTCTTGCTTTCTGTTGGTGCCTGTCCGTGCGACCAGGCCGATCACGGAAGCAAAGTGCTTCCTCAGATGTCGCAGAAGGAGATCAGGGGGGATGCGCAGAAGGATGTCGCAGTACTTTAGACTAACCTCCAAGTTATGATAGGACGCTGTGTTCGCATGACACTCTCCCTGGTTAGAGGTTAGAGGTACAGCATTTTCCGGATTGGACCTTCCGCACACATCTCCCAATCTATGCAGACCATGGTTGGACCATTGAGCTAGGACCTCTGAGCTAGATCTCTGGCTGATGTGAAGTACTCTAGTTTTTTGGATACAGTATGCTGTAGTGAATCCCACGGATGGTGGGGAAATGTGAGTGAAGTTGGAGGACACGTCTATCATCTCAAACAAGTCTCCTCAGTCTATCAACCTTTTTTCTTCGCAGCCTCTGGTGTTTTGGATCGCTTTTTGCGCTCAGAGTTGGATGTTGTTTTGATGTGCCCGAAGAATCCGAGCCCTCAAACACATGGGGGAAAACTAGGGTACCCCTGCCAAGTGGAGGGCCCGCTCACGGCGGATTCAGAGTCTGACGGGTGAGTGGTGCCCCCATCGTCGATTTGCGCTCCCCTCGTCGATTTGGCATCCGCTGTAAGATCCCATCGTAAGACGATGGCGCCGTCGTTGAGACGCCGATCGCCGTTCGCGCGGCCGGCCTTGCAGAGGTCTCACAGAGCGGTTCTGGCCCCTCAGCCCCCCGCCTGAACAACACATGCAAAACGCTCGTGGGCCGTAGGCCGTAGGCTTTGGCAGTTCCCATTCCATTCCCAAGAGGAATTCTACTGTGAACCAGCCACTGTACGAGGTTTTGATACAAGATCAACCAGCTAGCTCAAGCATTCCAGTAGTAACTCTGATGACAGAAATCAATCTCTTTGGATCTGTTTGTTCTCACGTTATCCTCGGTTTCGAAAAAAGGTGTCAGGACACCGCGGCGTTCCGCACCACGTCTCTCAACGTAATCAGAAAAAAATCACATCACGTACTCTCTGACTCACTAACATGGAAGTGGATGGCATGACCCCGTGGAAGACTACTTTCCTTTACAAACAGGAGGTTTTCCACTTCCATGTGATGTGTTCGTCGGAGTGTAATCACGTCTCTCAACTAACTTTCAGGACACGTCGTGAGTCACGTCTCTTCTCCTCGGAGTTGGCTTAGGAGTTGGCGTCCTTCATTCGCTCCCTAAGCGGCATGGGTCTCACGTCTGCTTCGAGCACGGGCGAAGCCATCTTTAAGCAGGCAGCGATCAAGGCCGGGGATCGGCGGATCCGGAAGCCTGTCCAAGGGCCGAAACGGATTGGGGGGATGATGGATATGATGGGTTTGAGTGGGTTTGGGGGTGCTCGAGTTATAGATCCCAGAGCACTATGTGACTATGTGGGCCAATGTGTTGCAACAACTCTAGGTGTTTTATAGTGGAAAGGAATTTTCTATGACAGGAGTGCACGATGCCAAGCCCGGATCTTGTTTACGGCCGTACATTCCAGCTTATTTTTCTGGGAAGCAAATTCTTCAAATGTCCCGATGGACAGCGCGAAACATTCTCCTGTCGCGACCTGATTTTCCAGTATCAATTTGAGGAATTCCGTGGTTTCTGCCACATCCCAGAAATCAGGTTAAGCACTGGTATACAGGTGATGGGGACTGGCAACCACTGCAAGCACTAGCCAATTTGCAATCGGATCCGTGGCACATGTGATTCTTCTTTCTGCGCTCAATTTGCCCAGGTCAAAATAGATATAGTGTATACTGGTATATGATGTGTGGAAAAGGGTATGCTACACAGGGGGTTTGCTTCAGGTGCTCTGCTGACGCACTAGATTCACTAGATCACTGGGCTCAGAATCAAGCCTTCACCCAATGACAGGACATTTCATGTTGAGGGCTTTTCAGTCACGCGGTTCTGTTGAACACAGAACCCACGGTTTGAGTCCGGGACCGCGCCAGCAAACGCTCTCCCCACCGACTCATGGGGCATGGCCAGGCCGCTCGGCATCTCATGGCCAAGAAGGACTGGCTGACTCGTGAATGGATGTTCATGTTCGTCTTGGGATGATTTCAGGATTAGTAAATGGTTGGTCAATTGGTTTATCTTTTCTGCTGATTTCTGCTCTTTTGGTCACTCAGACGACGCAGGAGGACCGGCGGTCCAAGACCTCGGACATCGCTTGCTTGTCACGAGCCTTTGCCGCTTAGCGGCGACTTCCCGGGGAGTGGGTGGGTGATGCTTGGGTCAGCGGGGATATCCACCGGTCTGTTGAAGGAACAACGTCCCGGACCACCAGAGGTTCAAACTCCCCAACTCTCCTCCCACGTCGCTTCAGCTGTTCAGGGAATCTGGAGAGCGAATCTTCGGCTCCTCCTGGAGGGTTTCTCCAGCAAAAAATGAACACACACTCTGACATTGGTATTCAGTTAACTCAGTTCCCAGGTCAAAAGGAATGAGGAAAACGCAAGGTGAAAGGGTCAGCGCAACTGAATTGTTGAACAAAATGTTCACTTGTCTGCAGAAACGCGGCTGAACGACGGCGGCTGAAAGCAGCTGTGGGAAACCTGTTTGAGGGGGGAGTATCGTGATCAACAACCATGGCATCAAAACACAGCAAGGAAGAGTGGAGTGGTGTCACGGCGCAGGTACGTCATCAGGCGTCCCTGATGATATCCTAGGAGCACGTGAGGAGCTTCGTTGGATGGAGCCTCACGTGTCCTCTCCATCCCCCTGCTTGTGAAACAGTGGTGAAGGTGAAGGTGGTGGCGAACCCTTCGGCACAGGGGTTGACACACACAGGTCGCCGTAATCGGCGCTTTTTCCTTTCAAAAACCGGCTGCAAGCAGTTGGGTTGTGTCCTTTTTGGACATAGAGCTTCACTAGCTCAGTGGCAGCAGCTTCAGCGCTTGAAGGTGGAAAGGTGTATTTATGGATGGTGTGAAGTCTGGATTGGAGGCCTGATAGAGCCAAGCGCTGGCTCCCGGCGCTGGTGGCATCCCTGATTTTCCAGGGTTGTAGAGGTTGAATGTAGGTGATGGTACGTTGTTGTAGGTCAATATTGAAGCCCAGGAGGTGGAAGTCGTCAACTGGTTCAAGTTTCACTGGGTCTCCAAAGAAGTTGTGATGGACGAGGGTTTGTATGGCTGGGTGGTGGAGGAAGTGTTCGTTGTGGACAATGAATCTGTTGTCAACATATCGGTAGTATGCAAAGTGCAGGTCGGTGTGTTGAAGTAAGTTGTTGTGGATCTGGTGCCAGGAGTGTTCAATGAGGGTGATGGCGACGTTGCATAGGGCTGGAGAGAGTTGGGATCCAATCCCAGCCCCTAGGATTTGTTTGTATGTGTTATTGCATGCCCGGAAAATGCAGGTGTCGAGTGCGTAGGCGACAATGGTGGTGATGTCGGAAGTCTGGATGGTACGTTGTGTGGGGTGTTTGTGGTGATGTCGGCCGATGTGGGAGTGGTGGAAGGGGTTGCCTGCTGCTTGAACGTCCACTGTGAGGGTGTGTGTGGATTGTTGTGTTTGCCAGTGGTGAATCATGGAGTGGACTGCGTCGATCAGACGATGCTGGGGAACCGAGTTGAAGAAGCCCACCAGGTCGTCGTTGGTGGCGTACAGAGTTGCGGGATGGAGAGCTGGCCTGGATGCTGTGGGTAGAGGTGTTGGAGAATGATGTCAAGAGCACAGCTGGTGATGCGTAGGAGGTTGCCACTGAGTGAATGGAAGTAAGAGATAATGGTGCGGCCTTTCTGCCACTGGTTTTTTTTGTTGAGGTGGACCACACTATAGGGGATAGGGGATTTTGAAATCCTTGCGGAAGCCCCACTTGTAGCGGGTGCGTAGGATGGGGGGGACAGTGGCTTTGAGATGGTCGTGGATGTTTGCGACTGTAAGGTATGGAAGTGGTTCAAAAAGTTCGGGAGACTGCCATGTGTTGAGGGCACCGGTGAAATATTGGCGAGGGCAGAACAGTCGGAGTTGCTGTAGTTCGTGGTCAGCGTGGTGAAGTACTGTGTGTGGGCCGAGATATTCTTAAAGCTGACGGAGCAAGTGAGCTGTAAATCGGGGTTCTTGTTTGAGATGGGTGTTGTGGAGGCGCCATTGGTGCTCGAGGAAAGGTTTCAAATGATGTGTAAGGGATGGTGGAAGCCCTTGAAGCTTGAGCCATTTTGTGTAGGCCGTTTGGAAAGTGAGGAAATAACGTGCCTTGCTGGGATAGTAGGTGCTGCTCATGTTGGCGTTGAGAAAAATGTTGAGGTGTGGTGGGAGATGTAGCTGGTCCAGTGTAAGAATGTAGTGGCCGTTGGTGGTTGGTGTGTCTGGATCTTGGAGGAGACTGCGAAGGTGGTTGCATGCGCATGGGAGGTCTGCTGGATCAGGTGGTGAATGGAGAGTGTCTTCCCAGGTGCGGTGGTTGTGGAGCTGGGATCGAAGGGTCTTGTGGGCTGCTTCACGTAGGCGATGAGACGGGAGGTGGAGGGGAATGGCCAAATGTTTGTGTTGCTGAATGGTGGTGCGGAGCCACTGTTGGCAGTGTTTTGTAAAGTCGTCGTGCGCAAGGAAAGGCACTGTGAGTGGGATGTTTGGTTTGGGTGGTGTAAGATTGCGGAAAAGGAGGGCTTTGTTGATGATATGGAGAGCTCTGCTGCGGCCTGGTTCTTCGAGATTGGCGGCCATGCGCCTGATGGCGTAGACTTCTAGGTCTGTATGGCGGCCGCTGCGCAGTTGTTTTGCTGCTTCAAAGGAGGCTGCTGTGTGTTTGGTGAGGTTGCGGAGAAGTATGAGAGCGTGGTGTTTGGTGGAAGTGTAAAGGTGTGGTTCTCTGATGGTCTGTTGGCGTTGTCGTAGTTGTCGAAAGAGACGTTTGTGAGTGGCCAATCTGGAGTAAAAGTGCGCTCGATGTTTGGTGAATGGCCAACCTTGGGCTTTAAGCTTGAGGTGGTGTGAGATGAAGGGCCAGTTGAGTGTAGGCATCCAGTTGGCAATGTGATGGTGTTCTTGGATCCAGGCCTGATCGTAAGTGTCGTGGGATGTGAGCTGAATGGTGGTGTAGTGGTGAATGTTGTTGTGGGAATGCCAATAGCGTAAGGAGAGTTCTGCCGAAATTGGGATATTGTTCTGGAGTTGCTTGAGCTTGGCTCGGCGGTTGTGTTCTCGGTGTGGAATGCCAATGGCTGTGGAGCCGACGTAAAAGTGGCCATGCTGGTGGTAACAACGATGTGGTGGAATGGGGTTGAAGTAGAGTTTGACGTAAACGGAGTTCTGGGAAAGAAAGTTGTGGTAGTGGTAGGTATGTGGAAGAATGTGGAGCTGGCGGAAGCGGTTGCGCCACTGTTGAGATCGGTGTGTTGTGGATGGATATGCAAAGAGTAGTGTGATGTGAATGAGGCCGGTCGCAAAGATGGCCTCTGCTCGTTCGATGTATTGGGTGTGGTGGATCAAAATGGATAAGGCGCGGTGGAGGTGAAAGAGATGTTGCATGGTGGTATGGCTGGGTTGCTGCTGGCTGAGAATAGCGAGTCAGCAGCCAATGGCTGCACCTACGCTGACCAGGTGTTGCAGGCTGCGGATGGGCAATCGGTTGACGCGACCGAGAGGGAGGCCATAGCGAGTGGCTGCGTCCTTCAATTGTTGTGTGGTCACTTTGCTTGTTTGGAGCAGGCGTAGGATTTCGTTGGCAGCCTCTTGGACTGCTGGGTCAAAAGTGGTGACCCAATGCTGGATGTCGGCGTTCGTCCAGCTGTCAGGGATGTCGTCCTTCAGGGATGGGTGTGGAGGTTGCAGGACGTCAGCCAGGACGGGTGGCTTGTGTGCTGGTGGGGTCGGTGGGTGGGGTGGGTCTCCAGAGCCTGTGGTGCGGCTGGTGCCCTTCATGGGGGTAAGGGGATTGCCCAAGTTGTGGAGCTTCTGTTTTGCTCGGGCAAGTTCGTCTGTGGTGGATTTGAGTGCTCGTAGAGCAGCGCCTTCTGCCGGTGCCGGTGAGTGGGATTGGAGTTGCTGGACAAGGAGGTTGATCAAAGGGGCGTGGAAGGCCCGTGCTTGTGTTGTCTTGCTGGGGATCGGTGCCTTGTGTGGTGTGGAGGGTTTCGGCGATGGCGTCCAGGTCCAGGCGTTTCTCCCGGATTTCCTGGAGGAGATGACAAAAACGGATTCGGCCACACTCCGGGTGGCGATGAAGCCGGTGTACTTCCCATGGCTCAGGGTGCGTGCTGTATACTCGGCGGTGCCGTGGTATGCGAGTTGCCAGGGAAAAATGTCAAAAGTTGGGAGGCCGGCAACACCGGCCTTCCGTGACCATTGGGTAGGTTGTATTGTTCGATAGAGCTGGCGGCCGTGAAGAGTATTGGCGTCCCAATGGTGGTCAGTTTGGTGCCAAGAGTCTTGGAGGGGTGGCTTGGGGGATGGGATGTGGGGTGGTGGGGTGGTGGGGGAGGTGCAGAACCGGGCCAGCGCCAGCTCCTGGCTGTGGACTGTGTTTGAAAGATGTGCCTGGTGGAGTGACTGGAGCTGTTGTGGGCAGTGGCAGAGGTGGTGGCGGCGGGAACTTTGGCTGTGATGGTGGAGTCAGTTGTGACGGCGTGGGCTGTGGTGGTGGTGTGTACGGTTGCGTGTGGTGAGTCTGGTGAGTGCGAAGAGCATGGGTAAGTGGACCATATGTGCCGGTGGGGTTGTATGAGTGGTGGCTTGTGGAAGGATGGGTGGTGGCGCCTTCTGTGGAGGTCAGCTGCTGATGTTGCTGCTGCTGGAGCAAGTAGTGGTTCCAGTAATACTGTTGCCATTGTGCGTCCATGGTGGAGTAGCGGCTGGAACTCGAGTGATGACAATCGCAAGTGGTTGCTTGAGCAGGCTGAAAAGTTCTGTCCGCAGGGAAAGTAAAAACATGGAAAGTGGTAAAACAGTGCGGCCAGGATGTGAAACATGGTCAGAGTAACTGTCAAGTTGGCAACCAACAAGTCAAAGGAAGAAAACATGAAGTCTGAAATGCACAGTAAATGTGTAGCTGGTAACATGCAGTAAAAGTCCGGCAGCACAAGTCGCAATCGTTTTTTCGTGGTGCGTAGTGAAACAGGTGGAGGCCTCGTTGGGGATGGCTGCAATCCGAGGATTAGTATAATGGAGAGGGTGATTCAGTTAAGTTAGAAAAGATGTGGTTGACTGAGAACAAACACATCCACGGATCGAGAGGCTCTTGTGGCCA